AGGGACGCGTATCACTTCATAACTTTCCACCCTCCTTCCGAGCGCGCCACTCCTCCGGGCTTTTCCCCGCGGGTCGGAGGAAGTTTCCCTCTCCGCATCGCGCCGCTCCGAGCCGGGCCGCTCCCGGCCGCATCCTCATCGCTCCCCGGGGGGCTGCCGCACCTCGCCCCGCTCCTTTCCCATCTCTCTCCCGGAGCGGGGCGAGAGAAAAGGAAACCGTCAAATGTATCGCTTGAAACCCTAGAATATGGTAATGTCGAGAGATACAAATCTGGTAATTATGCCCTTCTTGACTGTTCTGTTCTCCATTGTTCATTAAGCATTAAAGACAGGATTATTTAATTTTCCACTTAAAGATTCTCTCACGTCCCGCAAGATCATATTAATTTTCGATCATTTTTTCCCAGCAGACAAACTTTTGTTTCCACAACGCAAAGGGTTGCTAGTTGCTTTTTTTTTAATACCGCTCCAGGAAAAGCACGTTTGAAAGGCTCTTCCAGAAATCGTACGAGGCACTGAGCAATGGAAAATGCCCAAATTTAGGGAAAGAAACAAAGAAACAAACAAACAAAAGTGTTGTTTGAACAACAGCAAGAGCTCCCTTCAGAAGTGAACTAAGTGAAAATTGACCCAGTTTTGGTACTCAGTGCAATTCGGGAAAAATGCCTGGGAGAGGTTAAAGTGCGTCCTCTTCCATCCCAGGCACACGCTGCAGATGTGGGAGGCGGCGGAGCTCCCTCACCTCGCGCAGATCGGGGAAAATGGACTTCGGAGCCTCAGGAGAAGCCTCAACTCCAGTCCCCTGCCCGCGGCTGCGGTGCCGCAATGCCCGCAGACGTTCGCTTTCACCTGCGCTCTGCCTGCAACATAACGCAGCATATGCACACGGCATAACGTGTTATTCGTGTGCAATAAATCCCTATTTCTGATGGGGGGGGGGGGGGGGGGGGGTTTAAGCTTAATTAATGGGCTCGTCCCCTCCCACTTCATACTAGAAAATCACATTAGATTTCAGCCTTCGCGATCGTCTCTGGATATTTTAGTTCAGACGCTCTCAGTACGACCAAACTTTCAGCGAGGATGGATACACGGAGAGAACACGCGTTAGATTTATAGACGGCAAACAAGGCTTTCAAATTATAACGATCAACGAGAGGGGTCTCGTGTACGCATCCCGCTAAACGAAGGACAGAAAAGCACACCCGTCTGACAGCCCAATGGCACAGATTTGGCGTTTCAGCACTTTTTCTCGTAAGGATCGCGCCCGTTTTTAACGAATATCTGCACCGCAGAAACCACTGGTAGTCTGCACGTCACCGAGCTCCCCGGAGTGGCCTAAACTGCCGCTTCTAACTTTATTTGGTTTGCCCACCAGAAGCAAAGCGGGGGATAAAGCGTGAGCCCGGAGACGCGGTATCGCGACGCCCGAGATAAAGGGAGCTATCAGCAGGGAAAGTTTACACAGAGTCCTCTCCCAAAGCAGCCGGGGTTAGTGTGTTTTAAGGACTAGGGCTGGATTACACGGGCTGCGGCGGGGGTATTAGGAGGAAATCCCTTTCACTCGGCCTCGCCTCGCTCCCCAGCCTCATGCGCAAAGCTGCCCGGCGCTTCTCGCCCCCGCTGCGCGCCCGCGCAAGGGCCGGGGCCAGCACCGCCGGGAGCCAATCTGCAAGGGGCACTTAAAATAATAATCATAATAATAATAAAGAGAGAGAAAGAGAAAAGAAAGAAAGAAAGAAAGGAAAAAAAACAAAACAAAAAAAAAAAAAAACCAAGAGGAGGGGAACAGCTGGCGGAACCTCCCCCGCACGGCCACACGCACACTCAGGCGCGGAGCTGCGCGTTGCGCGGTGGAGATCGGCGACGGTGGGGTACATCCTAGCGGCGGCTCTGTGCCATGGGCGCCCGGCGCTGTCGGGCGAGGCCGCGCCCGGAGCGGCAACTCGTGGCGGCGGCGGCGGCGGCGGGACCGGGCGGGGCGGCGGGCGGGCAGGCGAGTGGGGGTGGGGGGGCGCGGCGGGGAGGCGGCCCGGCTCCCGGCAACTTGTAATGCGATAGAGGAGAGAGCGGGAGGGGGAAGAGGGGGATGGCTGTGCTTCTCCCCCCACACCCCCCACCCCCTCCCTTCGCACTTTTAGGGGGGAAAAAAAATAAATAAATAAAGTGGGGGCCGAGGAGAAAAGCCGCCGTCGGGAAGGTGCGTGCGGAGAAGGGAGCGGGGAGGCGGCGGGCAGCGGGCTGGGGGCAGCCCCGGCCGCAGCCCCGGCAGCGCGGCTCGGGGGGAGGCGGAGGAGGAGGAGGAGAGTAGGAGGAGCCGCCGTGAGCCTCGCACCGCTCCCAAACTTGAAAGTTTATCTGCCCGAAATCAGGAGCGGCCGCGGGGCGCGCAGAGCGGCTCGGAGCGGAGCGGGCGGGGAGAGGCTGCCGGCAGCGCTGAGAGCGGAGCGGGGCGAGGCGGGGAGGGGGCTGCAGCCCAGCGGTAACGGCGGCACCCGGCCTCAGAGCCGGGAGAGGAGAGATGCTGTGTGCCGGGCGGCGAGGAGCGGCCCATCGGCGCGTCCGCGAGACCGCTGTCATTAGCTAAGAGGACGCGCGAGTGAGCTGGGGAGGGGGTGAGGAGCGTCCCACAAAGTCATTCCGACCTGTGGGAGAGGGACAAAGAAAAAAACTTCCTACCAATGGACAACAGGAAGTGAGCACCACCACCAACGGGGAGCCTCTGCTCGGAGAAAGAAGCTGCAAGACAAAGAAGAAGGAAGGAGAGGTGAAAGACAAAACTGCCCGAGGTCTCCTGTGCGTGCGCTTCCGAGAGGAGAGAACAAAAGTCAGCCGGGAGGGGAGACGGAGAACAGGAGACAGGATGGGAGAGCTACGGAGAAGCACGTGAAAAGCGAAAGGAGAGAAGAGCGGACGACGCACAGGCACACAGAAAAGAAAGAGAAGCGTTCACAAAAGTTTCTTCTCCCGGAAAGAAATTACTCACACGCACACAGACAGCAGATGCCTCGCAGATCAACTTCTGGGGAAAGAGAGACCAGGAGAGACGAGGTGATGTGAAGAAAAAAAAAAATCAGGAGAAAAAAAAAAAAGCATAAAACAACAACAACAAAAAAAAACAAAACAAAAACAAAAAACGAAGAGAACAGAAGAAAGCAGAGCAAAAGAAACTGAGAGCCGGGGGAAAAGAAAGACAGAAAGGCGAGGATCGTGACCTCCCCCGAGAAGCGAACCTGGCCCATATGTTGTGCACAGCGCGTGCAGCCCAGAGCCCCGCTGCGCGCTGTTTGCGTGCCCCTGCGCCGCGCTCAGTGCCCGTAGCGGGCGACGCTGCTGCGGAGCCGCATCCCCCGGCGGAGCGGAGCGGCTAATTGCGGAGCCTGTCCTTCATTTCCATATGCAGCCCGAGTCCGCTGGAGCCGCGCCAATCCCCGCTCGCCCCCAGCACCATTAATCGCCATGCATTATTCACTAGCCTAATTACGGAGCCCCATGCGCGCTCCGCGCAGCCGCCCCAGCCCGCCGCGCCCGCAGCCCCGCGCCGCTCACAGCCCGCCCGGCTGAGCCCTGCACGCCCGCCCGCTCACTCCGCTTTGGTTGCTTAGCCTTGCTTTGTTTTCTTGTTTCTTTTTTTTGTTTTCCCTCCTTTTTTCTCCCTCCTCTCCTCCTCGGTGGGGTTGGTCGCCTTTTCTGTTGTTGTTTGTTTGGTTTGTTTTGCAACTCGACTTTTTATTTGCGAACAGTTATTTCCAGCCCCCTCCCCTCGCTCCCAATTCCTCCCCCCCCTCCTCCCCTTTCCACCTCCGCGTCGCTGATGCCTCTGCAAAAAGCAGAGTCAAGACGGCTCAGTTAGCAGCATGTCTCGTCGAAAGCAAGCGAAACCCCAGCATCTCAAATCGGACGAAGAGCTGCAAGCGGAGGTAGTTTCCGAGCACGGTAAGAGCTCCCGGCGCCTCTTTCTCTGTCTCTTTTGTGAGCGCGTTTCGGATGGAGATAGGTGCGTTTACGGTGCTGCTGAGCACGGGAGCGTAATTACTCCGCAGCGGGAGAACGGGAATTCGAGCAGCCGGGGGAAGAGGCGGCGGAACTGAGAAGTTCGCAGTTCAGCCAAGTTTCGGCAGCCCACCCCCTGCCCAAGCGGCCCTCCCCGCGATTCCCCGCCGGCCACCCGAGCGCAGCTCTCACGGCGGGGCTCTCTGCCGGGCCAGGCCCTGCCTCCTTCCCTCTGACCGGGCTCGGGCAGCCGCAAGAGCGGACACCGGGAGCAGCACCGCCTCCTCCACTCCTCCGTGCTTCTCTCCCTCTCTGTATTTTTTTTTTTTTTTTGCACCGGTTTTCCATCCCTCCCCACCTCCACCCCTCATCTCCCCTGGAGGTTCGGGCCGGAGCCACGCTACCCTAGCCCTCCGACACCAAAGTTGGGGCAACGGGGGTCCCGCGGGCCGGGGGATGCGATCTTCCCAGGTCTCGCCCCCGGGGCGGCCCCGCATGGTTGTCTGCCGAAGGCTCCCTCAACCGGGCGCTGGCTTTGGGGCGGCGTGGTTTGGGGGAGCCCCTTCCGGGCTTCGAACGGAGGCAGCCCAGGGAGAGCAGCGGGGTAGGCTGGGGTATTTCCGAGGAGCCCGAGCGGCTCCTCGCCCCCCCTTTGCGCTGCCTCCCCCCGCCGCCTCCCGGCTCTGAGCGGTGGGAGGTGACACGGTGCCACCGCCGCCACCGGCCCCTGTCGCGCCGGCTGCAGGCGCCGAGGAAGGGCCGTTCGCTCGCCCATCCGCCATTCCTCGCTCCCTCCCCACACGCAGACACGCCACACTCGCTTTATGCATCTGGGCGGCCCGCTCTGCTCGTGAACAAGTGTCTAAAGCGGGACGGATTCGGGCTGTAATCGCTCCTAATTTCCACCTCGCCGGACTGTTTGTAGAAAGAGAACGGCAGTTTGTTGTTTTTTTTTTTTTCTTTCTTTCTTTCTTTTTTCTTTCTTTCAATTGAAATAGCCCTAGGCGCTGCAGCGTGCGAAGGCATGCCACAGCCCTTCCTCGCTTACCCCGGGCTAAGTTGAGGGCTTCCACTTGAAAGTTTTTCTTCCCTTCTGTGCACGGTAGCTCCCTACCTTCTCGGCTTCTTGCAAAACTTAGTGGGAGCCCCCGTGTCTTCTGCCTTCCGTGTAGGCCCTATCCTTTATCCGCTTTCCCTCCCTTCAGAATGAAAAGAGAAAGAGTCGTTTTCCTGTTCCAAAGCTAGAAGTTGCTTCTGTAGGTGAGGAAAGGCAACAAAGTTGGAGCCCGAGGAGGATTTAGACTATTGTATCTAAACTTTACTGCCTGGAAGCTTAAGGCAGTGTGGATCCTCTTCATCGGGTTAAAACATCTGTCAGATCGGCAAAGCTGTAAGCCCTCCTCGGGGTGGCCGGGATCCGGGATGCGTCCCACTCTGTCAGGGCAGTTAGGATGGGGTTGCTGCCACTGCTCCGGGAAAACCCACTGGGTATTGACAATAACCCAGAGAAATGCTTCCTTCTGTCACAGCGGAGCAGCACAGCAGTGCAAACAGGAATAGGGTTTTTAGGGAGCGTTGGCAACTCGAAATAAAATAAGTGCAGGCAAGCAGATGAGAATTACGATTTTATTACGGAAAAATAAAAAAAGAAAAGCCAACACAACGATTAGCTGAGCTCAGCCTCTGTTGGGGTGGATTCTATTTGAGAATGTTTCACTAGTACTGCAGACTTTGAAATGCTCCGAACCCACTTCAGTACAGCAAAATAAAACCCCACTACTTCATTAGGACACTCCTGGCGAGTTAATAAATTGGGGGGAAAAAATTGTTAAACTAGGTTTTTGTTTTGTTTTGTGAATCTTATCTATGTCCATGTCACCCGAGATTAGAACAAGAGATATGCTAAAAAGAAACGCTTGCATATGGTGGGTAGATTAAGGACAAAGAATCTTTTTGTCATGGAAATGGTTTTTTTTTTTTTTTTTTTCTCCCCTTTTTTGGGGGGTTTTGTTTTGTTTACTTCATCACATAGAATTTCTCACACTTGGTTTGTTTTGTATTGCCCTCAATGACTACATGATCAAATGAATGGATTTATTTCTGCCGAATGAGAAAGACAGTCTTTCCATCAAAAGGACTACATTGCATCCCAGTGAGGAATTTTAAAGCGTTATTATTGTGGTCCCTGAATAGCACAAAATCGGCTTTCACAGCAGCCCTAAAATGCAACAATGTAAATACTTTTCAGCCTTAGAAGGCTGTTATCAAATTGTGCTACGTTCCCTTTTATTAAAACATATTTTAATTAGTAGAGTGAAACCCTTCGTAGTTAACGATTAACAAGCTGAAGTAGAGCTGTTGGTTTTTCACTTTCATTTGAGATCTGTGAGCAAGGTGGACTCAGCACACACGAGCAGAGGGCTATCTAGTGCACATTAATGCAGTGTAAATCATTTACGTGCTGCATTAGGAAGCCTAACGATTGCTATACCGAAAGCAATTTCATAGGCCAGATATAACGAGCGCTCCCAATCTCACAAATTAAAACACTTCTCGTCCAGTCAGTATTTTTCATTTCTCTTCGCAGCTGTAATCAAGGTATTGCTACAGTGCTACAGAGCGTATTTTGCAACGAGCCAAAACCAGTTCCCACAGCACGGGGATATCTGTGGGTTTGTTTAAAAGCAAAGTGCCTGAGCAGCATTATTTGATACATGCAGCCTTTTCATTAATTTGGCTGTTATCTTCAATGGGAGAGGGGGGGGTGGGCGGGGGAGGGGGAAGTTGTTGTTAACACAAGACGAAGCAAATTGGGCTTATTACTTATTTAATAAAATCATGTTTAGTACGACCTCGACGTAGACTTTAAGTGAGGCATTTCAACGTGAACGTTCCCTAAAGGCAATCCCTTAGAGCGAAGGGACGTTCCTACGAGCAGAAAGAAACCTGGGGAGCAGAATGGGCAGACTGACATTAGGCCGTGCTGCAAGTTGTCTGCACCCACCACAACTTCCCTGCTAACATTACCACGGGAGTTTAAGGACCATAATAAAGAATTTTATAGTGAGCCTGGACTGCGGCGTAAGAGAACTGCGTGCAACCAGGGCAATGCATAATGGTGAGAAATGGTTTGAAATCTGAAGGTAGTCGGAAACGCCATCAACTACAAATTTACACTCGGGGTTTTATTGTTGGAAGGGAGGTTCTAAAATACATTTTTAAAACTATTTTGAGGGGGAGCCTTTGCAGGCACCTAGTGATGACATATTACTTCGATACTTAAGCTGCAGAAGAGCGAATGAATGGCATCTGTTAAAGATACACTTTCAGGTTGCTAAATTAGAAGATAGGATGGAAATAATTTAAAAATAGCAGCAGAAGGTTTCGAGTGGCTGCCCGTTGTATACAATAATCTTGGTTTCTCAGTAAATGTAAAGCTGTTCTCAGTAAACTGTAACAGCTGGAATTACATTTCTAATACGCTTTCCTAATTCAACAGATTAAAATTGAATCAGAATTATAGATACAGTGCAAAAGCAGGTACAGCATTTGTATTTTAACATGGGTACAAGAAAAGGGGTTTTTACATGCTGAGAAGCACTTCTTACAGTGCACAAGTGAGTAGGGATGACAACAAATGATGCTTTGGACTTCCTCATGCGAAGTTACTGCCAAAGATAGGTGAATGGGATACCGTACAGTCAACTGTGCAATGGCAGTTTTCTCTCCTGCTTTTTGCAATTGTTTAAGAGCTGAACCTGCCTGTTGAGGTGGCGTGTTGTTTTTCCTTTTTTTCTCCCCCCTGCTCCTCAATACAAACAGTGTTGTGTAAACCAATGGCTCTCTATCACACTGCTTAAGTGGAATTGGAAGGTGCAGCTCTGAGTAGCTGGTAACTGCACTCGGTGTTGCTTTGGAATACGTTCACAGACACGCATGCTCCGCTGTGGAAACTGCATCATCCTGTACGGAGCAGCCAGCTTCGTGTGAGTGTGTTCACTGTATCTGCAAATACATTTTGAAAGGACGTTCCTACATGCAAGAATAGAGGTCATTGCGTGTCGTTCAGGCACTGCTGCCTTGAAAACTTGAGGAGTCACAAGCAGCCGTCTCAGGAAACTTGGGTGATTCTTGCAAATGTCTGTTCTGAGGCTACTGGAAGGAAGATTTAGTTTGTTTGATTTAAAAACAAAGGGGCCGAATGAGTATTGCTATAAACGGCCTCTTTGATAAGAAAAGAGAACTGAAACTTTGTATAAATAATTCGGGTATTACGACAGAGATGGCATTAAAACCAGGTAACATTTGTATTTATATCATTTTTAAAGTATTCCAAGTGCTTTGATCGATGTTATCAATAGGAAAATACTTGGAATAACAAGCAAGCTACAACAATTAACCAATTTGCTGGTGTGTGTAGAAATGCTGCAAGTAGACCAAAGTGGGTCAGATTTTATCTGGCGCTGCTGATCTTGAGGAATTCTTACCATCTCCCGAGGTAGATATTAGGGCTGCCTTTCTTGGAGTGGGAGGAAGGAAATTTTGAAAGGTATTGGTTTAGGATCTGTGTAATTAAGCTATTAATATGCATACATTTTAGCTGCTGATAATTACTTGTCCTTGCCTAAGGAAGAGGAAAAACTACAATTCAATTTTCAGAGTGAAAATACACAAATTAATAAAGAGAATTAGTGCCATTTCTGAAAAATACTTGGGTTCCTAGGAAGATTTTCTTTGCATTTTTCCTTTATTTGATCAGTTGACTGCCCAGCCTGGACAAGCCTATCTGTTGAGTATCCATCAGTCAGGACACGAGTCAGTCACTTTTGCTGATAATAATCCAGGTCTGGCAGGAAATTAAAGTAGCTGAGTACTGACACTTTTTAGAAAATAAAGTATGCAAAAATCAGTTTGTCTATTACGTGACATTTGTAAAATGGGAG